GTGTGGCTGTGGCGGGGAAGGTGTTGATGCCGTTGCCGCTGCCGTTGTTGTGCGGCAGCGGTGGCTGGTTAGAGATTGGGTTGAGGTGGTGGAGGTAAGGGGGGGGGGCGGTGAAGAGGGTGGGTGGTGGGAGTGTGAGGACGTTACTTGCTGGGTTGTGCCCACGCATTGGCGCCGTGGCAGTGCCAGGCGATATTATGGGTTGGATCTGTGGCATCTGGGAGTCCGGCACGAAAACATTCGGCATGCTGACCTGAGTCTCAGCTGTATGATGAGGTGTAGATACCAAGGTTCATTGACGAGTTGCTCTTTGCTTCTTCGGCGGACTGGAGTCGCTGTCGGAGTCCTTGGTATGATGAGTCGGAGCTAGGCATTGCGCGCTGTGAACCGGTAGCCAAGTGACGATGGCACGCTCGATCACCGGTGGGGTTCCGGAGGCGGCCAGGATATCCATGCTGCTCTGTGCCTTGGTGCTAGGGAGAAGAGAAGATGCAGCGCTTAGGGCGTTGATGATTGCAAGCCGAGCGGCGGCCATATCCACAAATGAAGGCTGGGGAGGTCGCGGGGATGCTCGATGTTCGATCCAGAATGCTACATGTAGGGCGGTTGCAGGTAAAGGCAGACCAAGCAACTAAGCAAGAGAGAGAGAGAGGGAGAGAGAGAGAGAGAGAGAGGGAGAGAGATGACAGTGCAAAAACCCCAAATGCAACCAAGGCGCTTGTATATCTGAGGATTCGTTCCTCAGTTCAGGTGGGGCTGACATCACAGTCATGAACTGAAGATTGACGATATGATGATGATGGGAGAGAAAACAAATCACGAGGGAGGCGGCTGCAAGATCATCCTTGCGTTTCAGTCAGAATGGAGCAAAAAATTGGTGCCGCATCAGGCCTTGAGTTGTGCGGAGCCTGAAGTTGAGCTCGAGTGCCTCTCCACCCCTAGAAAGCTTCATTGAGACACTGTTGCTTTCCGCTAGCCCTCTAGAAAGGGCGATGGTATGTTGAAGCAGGGCCCCCTGAAGGGTGCGCGCGTGCGCCAAAAAAGCGCATTGTGTGTACTTTATGCTACTGATTTGATACTTTTCCTGTGGATAGACGTAATCCTAGCCAAACCAGAGCGCATAAGACCCCCTGTCGGGATACATTATCGGCGGCCCGGTAATGTATCATGCGACCCAAAGACTACCGTGAGCCGCTCTGGACCCTAGGACCTTTACGCCAGTCAGTGGTGTGCCCCCATGGATCGTCGACTGACCTGAATCGAACACGTGTTTTGGTACGTGCACGGGGACCCCACGTCCGTAACGCCAGTCAGTGGTGTGACCCCATGCATAGGTCGTCGAATAACCTGAATCGAACACTCGTGTTTTGTTCCGTGTACTGGGACCCCATGATCGTAAGCCCAGTCAGTGGTGTGACCCCATGGATCGTCGAATGGCCTGAATCGAACACTCGTGGTTTGCTACGTGTACGGGGACCCCACATCCATATCGCCAGTCGCTGGTGTGACCCCTTGGATCGTCCACCGACCTGAATCGAACACGTGTTTCGTTACGTGTACGGGGACCCCACATCCGTATCGCCAGTCAGTGGTGTGACCCCATGGGTCGTCGAATGACCTGAATCGAACACTTGTGCTTTGTTACGTGGCCAAGAACCCCACGACCGCAACGCCAGTCAGTGGCCCCATGGATACCCCACGACCGTAACGCCAGTCAGGTTGCGAAGTCCCAGTTTTGGGCCTCCGAGACACCTAAAATTGCAGTTGCTGCAGTCAAAGAGCATACTTCGGAGCATCAGATACTCCCTAAGCCTCGAACCCGAAAATCCAAAAGAACGGCCGCAAATGCAAAACCTGAAAACCCGTACTCTGCAACCGAAAACCACAACCAGCAGTTTGTGGTACACCCGAAAACCCTACCCCCTCAACACTCAATCCCCAAATCCAAACCCTGAACTCTGAAGCTTCATTTGTAAGAAAACCCAGAAGCTTCAGGCCTGAATGGCCAAAGTTCAAAAGAAACCCCAGGAATCATTAAGTCAGGAACAATTTCGACAAGAAGCCTCCAGGGTTTTGGGTTTAGGGCTTACGGATAAGGCACCCAAAAAAGCCTCCAAACTCTCAGCACAACGATGACCATGACGACCATCAGCACGTCCACCATCATCATCATCATCATCGTCACGACATACAGTAATCACTAGTCCTTGTTTTAACCCACCCAGAACCCGAAGCCCTAAAACCCCCCCTCCATCAGCTCACTTAGAGTTTGAAGGACAAGCTACATGAGAGCTGCCGTCGCACTGGCGGCCCGGCGACCAGGCCCCTGCAATCCAGGCCCGACCTATGCGGCTGGGTTTAGGGTTTAGGGTTCAGGGTTAGCGTTCAAGGGCTCAGGGTTATGGGTTAGGATTTACGCGGAGTTAGGGTGTAGGAGGCCAGCTGGGGCTGCCGGCTTTCAAGCTTCGGGCTTTACGAGTAGGGTTTGGGCTCTTTACGGTTTGGGCTCATCGTGGCCGTGGGGGTTTAGGTCCAAAGGAGCTTCTTTCTGACAGGCGATGCGGCGTCGGACCAGAACTAAATACTGGAAGGGTCATGGAACTTAGTAAGTAAGGTTATAAGTCCCTTAATTGGGGTTAGAAGTAAATATAAGTATGGTTACCTTAATTATAACCCTACTTACTAAGTCCCATGGTCCTTTAAGTAGACAGGCACAAGTGGAAGCTTAAATCTTGAAGACCCAGGGATGCATTCGGCTACAAAGCTGCGGAAATTATCGCTACTTAAAGGATCATGGGACTTAGTACGTAAGGTTATAAGTCCCCTAAATGGGGCTAGAAGTAAATAGTGCAGTTACCTTAATTATAACCCTACTTACTTAGTCCCATGATCTTTTAAGTAGTGCGGAGGAGGGGCGTACAAGCATGAAAGCTTGCTTAGGGCTCCCACGGAGCTATTGAGAAGCTGCGGACAAGCACTGAACCCCAAGAGATTGAGCGAGTCGATGCATGATAGCAGAACCGTGACTGCGCCCCCGATGGACAACGAAATCCCGAAACCCAAGTCTCTGCACTCTAAACACCTCAACACCCTGATTCAATACCCTTAAACCCGTAACCGTCTAACCCTATGCCCCAAGCCCCAAACCCTACACCCCATGCCCGAAACCCGAATCCCCAAACAGAACGCGCCGCAGAGCCTATCCCGCCTGCAGCGGAGCAGAGGGCAGCGATTGCCAGCACAGAGACTCTGCCTATGGGTCGAGCCATGGCCCACCCTGGGCTTCTACGCTACGGTTTAGGCTGGGGGTTTGGGGTTTAGGGTTTATGAGGTTTAGGATTGGGGGCCAGCGGTTTAGGGTTGATAAGCTGTTCATGGCAAGCCTGGGCCGGTATTTTTGGTTTTCAGTATACGGAACTCAAGTGATGCTTGATTGCCACTGAATCTGTTGCTGGATCCTGAATCCTCAACCACTTGTCTTCATGATGTTTCCAAGTCTGGCTCGTGGTGTAGCCCCTCCTCTTCATCGCGCGGAATACTGCGGCAAACATTCTGCGACAAGCACTGGGGCTTCCGAAGTTGCAGGCATGTCATGCAAGACATGTCATGCTCACCATGGACCGAGATGCCTAACGATCCTGAATCCATGGAACTTCCGGGAAAGCCCAGCGACGGCATGACCGAGAGACCGTGCCTTTACCACGCTGCAATTCAAGTATTTTCCTATATAATTCTCTACGTATGTGTATGTATGTATGTATATATATATATATACACGACTCTATATATATATATATATATACATCTGTATCTTTGTATATATGTATGTATGCATGCATGCATGAATGCATGTATGTCTATGTACATGTATGTGTATATGTCTCTGTAAATGTCTCTGTATATGCTTTCGTATATGTATATGTATATGTATATGTATATGTATATGTATATGTATGTGTGTGTATATATATATAGGTAGATAGATAGATAGATAGATAGATAGATAGATAGGTCGACATCGATGTGTGTGTGTATATATATATATACATATACATATACATATATATATATATGTATATATATGTATATATATTTATTTATTTATCTATTTATGTGTATATGTATACACACAGACATTAGGGGCCCTAAAGAATAGCATTGTGAAGTTATTCAGCCCCCTACAATAATGTGAACCCAAAGCCGCGAACGAGCGAAACTCTGCCCGAAACACTAAAGGCAAGCAGAACGCCCATTTCAGTCGGTGCATCCGGTTCGGGGTTTAGGGGGGTGTAGGGCTGAGTGGCTTTAGGATTTAGGTGGGCTCAGGGCGTGGAGTTCGGGCAGTTGCCCTCAATACTGCCGTCGCTCTCTCGGCGTGACGCGACTAGATTGAGGCGTTCAAGCCTCTTGGGCGTTGGTCGGGACCCTTCGCAGGGTTCGGTTCGGATTTTGGTGTCTCTGGCTTACCTTTGGTTTAGGGTTTAGGGTTTAGGGTTTAGGGTTTACGGTTTAGGGTTTAGGGGGCAACTGATGACGGACGGATTTCATGGGAGGAGCTGTTTCGTAGTTGCAGCGACCGATTGGTGGTTTTGGAGATTAGGGTTGAGAGGGCTTTAGCAAATCATCATGTATGATCGTGAAGTGTAGTATATCATCGTACATTATCGTATTTTTTGTGTATTCGACGGTTCAGAGTTTAGCGTTCCGTTGTCACACCCTTCTTCTGGTCCAAGGTGGCTTTGTGGAACACAGAAGGCACTGGCAGATCATCGCAGTCCATATCATAACAGTTGCTTTGTTGTGACCGTTTGGCGCTCGAAGCTCTTTTTCAACCCGTGCTGTGCTCCGAGTAGGAAACAGGTTGAGGGGGCCTTCGGCCTGCGAAAATCATCCCTTTAAGGATCATGAGACTTAGTAAGTAGGGTTGGAAGTAAGGTAACTGTACTCATACTTACTTATAACCCCAATTAAGGGACTTATAACCTCACTTACTAAGTCCCATGATCCTCCCATCTTCACACGCCCTTTGACACGGGCAAGCTCTGTGCCCGCACCAGGAATAGGATGGCGTCTGTTTCCACATGCACCTGCTAAGGTGAAAGCGTCCTAGGGTTAAGGGTTTAGGGTTTAGGGTTAAGGGTTTAGGCCTACTTCAGTAATGGTCAGCCGACCCTTGAAATCAATGTAGGGGTCTGACTAAGTAGCAAGAATTCCTCCCTGATATCCCGGATTGTACTATACTATACCCCAAGCCCCGATTCTAGTTGTTCAGGCCCCTAAATCAGTCGCCATCACTGCTGCCACTGCTCGTCAAGATCTGTGTTTGCAGTGGCGAGCTTCCTGGCCAAAGAAAATGCGAGCCAGCGCGGCGGAAGACTCTAGCCAACTCTGAGTCCTTGTTAGGGAACTTAACTTAAGATACCATAAGAGTGATATATATATATATATGGTCCATAGTCGGGACATATGGTTCATAATGTGTAAACAGTAAAGTGTCTTTATAATGGTAACTTCAGCTAAGTTCCTTGACAGGGACCCGACTACTCTCTGCCAGTGTGTCAGTCTTTCTTGACTGAAGACCCTCCTCCAGGACGATACTCATAGCGCTCGAACTCGAAAAGCAGCGCCCTGTGGCCATGAAAGGGGAAGGCTGAGAGTTTAGCGTGGAAGTATGGAGAATATAGGGACCTAAATAATTACCACTACTAGTTTGGGGGGTAATGTTTTATTTTCTGTATAATTATAGTATAGTTGCCCCCAAAACCCTATTCTAATTATTAAGGCCCCTATGTTAGTTCTCAATACTATACAACTTGTCGTGTCATAGTGCACAACACCACGATTCAACACCAGTCATGACGCGGTGTACTTGGAGGTTCATGGGTAGTTATAAGTGGGGCTATAAGTAGGGTAGCTCTTATTAAAACCCATATTAGGGGACTTATAACCCTACTCAAAGCTACCCATGAACCTCCGAGTAGCTATGCATCACTGCGCAATGGAGCGCGGCTCTCGAATTCCCTATGTGACCGGATCCGGATTGTAAGAACCCCAATGAAGAACACGGATTTCTTTTATCTGATTCCCGCACTAGCAGGAAGGACATCTATGTGAAGTTGAAAGCAACTATTTGGAGGTTCCTGGGTAGTTATAAGTGGGGTTAGAAGTCCCCTAATACTGCGCCGGTCCGAAAGT